TGGACCACATCCACCCATCTTAGTCCCAACATGTGAAAAGCAGCAAGAAGACGAGCCTTTCAATCGGCCAGCAAACAACGCCGTTCCGTAGAGCCGCGATTGCACAACATGAGATGTGTTTTCAATGAACAAGAACGGCGCCATCCCCCCCCCCCGGACCCCCCACCCCCCGTCCTGTAGCGCAAATAGGGATCAAAGGATACTGATACATTCCCAAGCAATCAGAATGACAAGCGCGCGGAGACTGATGTCTCTTTTATGGCTGCGCAGCCGCTCTTTGTGAGAATGTGGGTTAAGCCACTGCGGACTGCACACGCAAAAAATATCAAGCTGTGACATTCACATGCCGTACAAAGCATGATTCAAGGGATTCCTACATTGCTGTAAGGGTCAATCATGCACAATTCAACACCCCCCCTGCACCGATCTTGGTCCCGACGCATACCTTAGTCTACAGCTCCAACCATTTGCAATCAAGCAAGAAAATCGAACCGGAATCCTCCGAACCGAGGCACAGGAAGGGCACCACGTGCAGAGCCCGATGCATCCAGTACATGCCGAAGGACATGAGGTAGTGGTTCCCCACTACCCGCAGCACGCGCTCGTGCAGCGGAGCCACGACGGCCTTGAGAAGGGTCCCGGTCAAAAGCTATGCAGAACCCAGCCGAAGGGAAGCCAATAAGAACAGCGCCATTTGCTGGAGTTCCCTATGTTGACATGTTCGGCCAACTTAGGATGTGGCCATGGTTCCGCAACACACTTCTGGGGATGGGTGTTGAAGAGCCCAAGCGGGATGTTGAAGCCATGTCTTGTAAGCAAATAGCTTGGTAAACCTGGAGGGGACTGGCACTAAATGGTTACCGCCTACTTGCCAAGTGGCTTGAGAAAGGAACAGCCAGCAATCTTTAGAACAAGTCACACCCACACTAGACCCTATCTCCAGTTGAAGCGGGAATACATTGGCAGGCACAGCGGGTGTTCCAAAATTGGATTTGGATCCTTCGAATTGGATTTCAACATCCTCGAATTGTCCCCTTTAAAAAAAATCACGCACCAGCAAGAGCCTCGATGATTCGCCTTTCCTCAAGGCGAAAATTATGATTCGCCCAAGGAGAAAATGATGAAACATATGTCGTGCAGAAGCCTGAAGCAGGGAACCCCCTTTCGGATCGTGAGAAACCATAAGGAAGCGTAAGGAAGAAATAAAAAGAAGCCAAGAGGACACTCAAAACACACCGAAAGAAGGTCAAAAACAAGCCAAGGGAAAAAAACAAAAGGAAAACAAACGAGAGAAAGCCAACGGGAAGCCAACCACCTGCAGGTTGGATCCCAATTTGGAGATACCTCCGCGCCACGCCTGGGCGGCGGGATAGTAGCCGGGGATGGCGTAGTAGAGGCCTACGTTGAAAGCGAACTGGCTGATCAGGGTCAGCCGGTCATGGCAAATGATTGTCTCCAACTCCTTCATGTCTCTTCCGCAAAGGTCCTAGCTTCCAAACATGCTTCAAGTGGAGAGGTGATTTTTTCCGTGTACCCCGAACCTGCCTTTCGAGCGAGTCCCCGATCGCGCCCCATTTGTCTGGCGCCAAGAAGGGATTTCCGGGGTCTAATCCCGCCAGTAGAAAGAGATGCGCTGCTGCATCCCCTCCAAAGTCGTGTCTGCCTTTAATGCCCTTTAAAGCCCACCCCCAAAAAAGGGGTACCATCAAAACACAAGAAGGCGCCCAACTGGCTACTCTTATCTCCAAGTCGCTTCATGTCATGTTGAGACACGCAGGGTGATGCTAGAGCAATGTTGACCTTTCTGCCTCCCCCCAACCTGAACGCCTTGGAGCAATTCAAATCGATGCAGATCTTCGTCCCGCGTTGCGCGTTCCCTCCTTAACTTGCTGGTGCTCAGTACGGAAAAAGGGAAATCATTTTCAGGGGGGCCCTTAAAGAAAACCACCAGCAAGGGATGGTTTTCCTTGGGGTCGGAAACCAGAACTCTCACTCCCTGCATCTCTCGCACCATTCGACCCCAAGTGCATTTGGCACAGCGCCAAGTCCTGGCGCTCCCCGGTTATTTTGCGCCTCTCGATCACTCCTCTCCATAGGTGTCCTTTTAGGGTAGATAGATGGCCCTGGTAGATGATTCAACCACCAGGTAAACCAGGGAAACCCGTCGATTTTTCTTGCGAAACAACCGAAAAGGACACCTGTGCTTTTCGCCCCCCCCCCCCCCCCGCCCGGTGTCCTTCTTGTTCTTCAGCGCATGCTCGCGGGAGGGCTGTGTGCGAAACTGGGGGAAGCTGAAGAAGATGGCCTCGAGGTAGGTGTTGTAGATCCGGGTCACCACCGCCTTGGTGCACCTGGGATCTACCCGATCCCACCAGAAAAGGGTGAAAGGGCACTACTGGGGGACCTAGTACCCAAAAGAAGATCCCAAGCTGAGCTGCAGGGTTTTTTTTTGCGTTTTGGCCTCACGTTCACACCCAAAGGATTTTTGTTGAAACCAACTCAATGGTGGAGCTGTAGTTGTTGTTGGACTTTCACACCCAAAGGACTTTAAAGCCAACCCAAAGGTTGCCATAGATTGTCTGGAGCTGTAGTTTTTGTTGGGTTTCACTCTTACACCCTCGACTTTAAGACCAACCCAAAGGTTGCTATGGATTGTCTTGCGGCTTCACTTTCAAGCCAACCCAAAGGCAATTCTGAGATCGGAACGCTCGGATACCCAACCCCATAGAATCTAACGAAAGGGCTGTTGGTTTGTCTGGGAAAGCTAGCCCCAAGTCATAGGGAAACTAACCAACTAGAGGCAACCCCAATTAATTGGGACACGTTAACAGAGGGAATCGAACTGCTTGGTTTCATGTTGGGAAAATCAAAAAGCCCTTATCCTTGCTTCTGGTGTGACCAGAGATAGGCTTGTCTCAAAAAACAGGAAATGGACCCCTATTGGCCAGGGTTTCTTTTGGTTTCACTCTAAAGCCAACTCAAAGAGGATTCTACAAAAAAGTCACATACACGCCTATTCTTCCAGTTTGGCTCGACAAAATTGGCGCAACAGACCTGAAACATATCAGGATTTGAACAAGCCTTCCCCTGCATGCCTCCTGCTCAAAGGACTTTTCAAAATGCCTGTGGGTCAAAACCCTGTACCCCTGATGAACATCAAAATAGGGGGCAAATGGATGTTCATCCACCCCAAAATGGAGCCATAGGTTATGCCTTCAAATCCCATCCCATCTTGAAACACCTATAATGTATGTCTCAAAATAAGGGCGGCCCTGGACCCAGACCCAAAAAAGCGAATTTCTATATACCCTCCCACCAATTCACATGGAACCGTTCGACGTTTCCGGGGGGGTCCTGGCTCGGACCATTTTCCAAAAGGGTCCGGGTCCCGCATGTCAGGTTCCACGTTGATTGCTGGGAGGGTCATCCTTTTGGTAAGGATTCATCCTTTTTGGTTCCATGCAAAAGGCAGAAGGCTCCACCTTTCCTCGGATTTCGCCTTTTGGATTCTACCTTTTGCCGCGGATTTTGCCTGAAAGTGGCGTCCTTCGGGTTGGTGTGTCTCAAAACCGGAGCGAGCCGCAGGAAGGCGGCCAGCTCTTTCAGGGTCCAGGAGCCCTGCACATCCTGGCAGGGTGACACGTCCCCTGGCCCTAAGCTTGTGACCCCAAATGGGACAAATGGGGTTGATCAAAAGGTCCGGTCCGGTAAACATGGGATGGCCGTTGGGGGGCAACCACCAAAAAGCGTAGATATTTCGCAATGAATGGGAAAAGGCACCCTCTCTATCTATGAGTTTCCGGATCCTTTGGAAGCTGGACCCCCCGCGCAGTAGAACCCATTTGTGCTGGCCCCCCCAAGATGTGCTTCGTGGATCCCTGGCAAAAGGCTGGCTGCTGGGATGCGGCAACAATCAGCTTCCCCACTCATGTGGTTTTGGTGGTTAAGGAGGGGCTTCCCATCTACCCTCTACAAGAGTCGACAAACGCCCTGCCGCCTTCTGCGGCAGCAGGCAGGCGGCCGCGGCCAAGGATCCGAGGCTCCCAAGCTCCAGCAGGGTCAGCCCCCGGTCCCCGCTCCTCCGTCTCCAGCGAGCCGACCCGTCGATGGGTCCATGGGCGACTTTTCCGGGAGGGGAGCCAGCCCACGTTGCAGGCGACGTCTGGGGGCTCCTCTTCTACCAGGCTCCCCTTGTGATTTGTGCCCCAGCGAAAAGCTTTGGGGTCTCAGCCCAGATAGGCTCCGGGGTGCCCTGAGAGAAGGTTCCACGAGGGTTCCACCAGGGCTCCACCAAGGTTAAAAAGGGCACCTCATGCTGTTGGGGATATCACCTGAGCTGATTTTCCTAGATAAGTGGAAAACAACCCATGTTGGGGGACATACTGGAGCTCGTAACACGCAGATCAGGGTTGATTTCCTGGCGGTTTGTCTGTGGCCGAAAGGTCCAGGAAAAAAAAAGGTGAGAGAGATTCGAAGTCAGTGCAGCTGTATGTTGAAGACACCCTGGAAATCCCTGATTTTCAGATGGCTTCGGAGGGTGGAGGCTTGGTAGCTGACAATATGATCGGCAGTCCACAGAACCAGCGCGGCAACTCAATCTTCCGAAGAGTCGAGTTCTCCCACCTGGTTCCTCTTTTTCCTTGACCCCATTTGGCTCGTCCCAGGCCCCACAAAAACACAAAAAAACACCGCAACACCACCCCCGCGTTTTTGGTTCTTCCCAGGGACGTCGTTGGCGAGTCGCAGCAGCAAAGAGGAGAAGTGCTCGCGGAAGCTGAGCCTCTCGCTGGGATACTCCAAGGTGTAGGCGCCCGACGCCTCCTGCAGCCGGACGGCATCAGGCGCGGCCGACTTCCGGGGCATCAAGCACGAACTGGGAGTCCAGGTAGCAGATGGGCGCAGTGTCAAGTCCCAAGGGGGGCAAGGCCAAAAGCAAAGGATGCCCCCAAAGAAAGGACGCACCCAAGTCTTGCATGATATGCTTGGGCCATTGCTGGAGCCGAACCCCGGGCTTTTCTAGCCCCAGCCGAAGGAAAGCTGGCCGACTTGTGTCTCCTTGCTCCCAGTTTCCGGTCGTTCCGCCAGCGAGGTCCGTTTCGCTTCCACTCTATTCTTGCATTTGTTTTCCAGACCCGGCCCCCAGGCCATGGGGAAAAATGCACCTTTTCAAGCCTCCAACAACAAAAAACTCCAAGAAAAAACAAACTATTTAAAGGGAAACCCCTCAATAGAAACAAAAAAAGGTTGGGACCAGGGCCCGCAACCCCTTGGAGTGAGGTCTGGGCTGTTCCCCCGCGCCTTGGACTGGACCGCCATACCCCGGGCGCTCGAAAAGTCGGAAAAATCCCCGGCGCTTTTGAGGCTAGATGACTCGGGTTTCCCCGGACGGCGTGGTTGTCTGGAAAGACAGAATGCAGCTGCTAACCCCAGGGCACCCGAAAAACCTGTGGAGAAGAAACTCGGCGTGTCCAAAAGGCGCTCATCACCCAACAAGGGAATTAAAACGACAGAAGGTGCTGCGGCTGTTTTGATCCCGGCGCGCCTCACGGCTCCCCCACACGCACACCCACACACACACACAACCACACACAACCACACACACACACAAACACACACACACACACACACACACCCACCTGCCCAACTTGGTCAAAGCTCTTGCAGTATGTCTCCCTCGATGAGGATCCAGCGGCCGCGCTTTCAAATAGTCCGTTTAGACGTCATACCAGAGCTCCGGCCATGCCAGAGCCAACCGCGGTGGGCAGACCCGGATCGGTCCGACGAAAGAATCGGGCGCAAACGGCCCATCCTGTTGGATCTGTCGTTTTAGCCCAGAAAGTCATCTAACGAACCGACCCCTCCGCAATCGACCAACCAATTCGCCAACCAACCCAAATTCGGACACTCTGCGTGCAACTATATACCTCTGGAGACCAATAGCAAGATCTCTATGTCTAAGTGTGTGTGTGTGTGTGCGCTACCTGAGAGACAAAGCACCTGGTTACAAAGTCCTTCCAATCAGGTTTCATGAATGTGTTCAAAGTACCCTCCCTCAACGATCATAGCAAATAGGGTGGTTTAGAATTTAGAAGACTACAGTCAGCGCAAAGAGGCTCTCCGTCTACCTTTCGATTGCATTCCATCGAAGTGGATTGAGGCCCCCGGCACCTCTACCTCTTCAGCTAGCACGGACATCCTGCGAGCCGCCCAGAGGCTAATGGGAGCCACACTGATATCATTGTTCCAGGGTTCTATATTTTGCTTCTCCCAAGGTAATCAGAAAACGGTGGTCGCTGTTATCACCAAGGGTTTAAGCCGACAAAATGAGGTAACTGACAAATGGAACCCTGAAGGGAAAACTGCAGGAACGCCCTGGTGTTCAACAGGAGCATTTAGGTCCCAACACAAACGTGTTCGTGAGAGAGTGGTGGAAGCCACTGTTTGGACACGCAGAACATTGGGCACCCACACCCAGAACTCGCAATGGAGACGACGCCATCAAATCGCAGATATGGAAACTGGGAGCTGCGGGCGTCTTTTCTGAGGGTTACGCTTCTTGGGGTGGGTTTGAAGGTCACCCACGGTGGGGAATTGGGGTCCCCAATTTTGAGACAAACCCATAAGGTACTTCGAGGACATTGCGTGCCCCCGCTTGAGCCACTTCTTCTGTCGGAACAGTGATATATGAAGCCCACTGATTTCGAATGAGGACTTGTCGTGTTCAAGCAGGGTCCAAGCTGGGAGGGAAAGCTGGGGCGGGGGTCCACATCGCATTTGGAGGCAAATTTTGAATTCTTGTACGGGTGTCTTTTTGTTGAGGGTACATAGGTATCCTTTTCACCTTGGTTCAAAACCAAAGGCAAGCCATCGATGTTGGGGGGGGTTCCCCCATTTCACACGCACCCGTATGGGTGCGCCCTACAAGGCGCACCCCGCTGATCCCCACCTGGCCTACATGCGCGGCAAAATATGAAGTTGTTCGTTGTGGTTAGGCTTCTAGTGAGTACCCCAGGTCCCTCCGAATTTACCATGGACTACTGCAATAACAAATACATGTTGGTTTCGAACCTGACATCACCAAAGGAAACTAAGTCTCCAACAGGGTCACCTCCCGCTGGAAGGTGCACTTCTCCCAGTCTCAATCCCCCAATTGAAATATCGGCCGCTTGATGAATTCTGAATGACAGACCTGGGATTCCGATGGGGTTGGGCGGTCGGTGCTTGCCCTGGAAAAAAAATATGGCTGGAAGCTCGGCTTTCGATCCATCGGCAGCAACAACCCCAATCAAGTATTATTGTAACAATAGTAGTGATAATAATAACAATGATCATACTACAAAATGGTCTACATATCTTTCTTTTTTTGATGGCCTAAGATTAATCTGAAGGTTGATTTCTGGATCCCTCCTTCAGCGATTGCAGGCCTCCCTGTCAGTTCATGGAAAATCAACGATTCCAGGCAGCAGGTCGGCGACCGAAGCTTTCAAACTAAAACACCGAGCCGAGCGGGAGGGCGGTTTGACGTGCACGCCGAACTCAAGAAATCCTCCTAGGTCCTCTGGTCGCAGCCTGTCCACCTCTCAACTTTCGAAATCGCAACCGAAGCACCCGAGGCACCCGGCCTGCTCTTGTCTACCCGCGGACCTGGAAGCAACTGCCTTTTTTCCTGTAACTGAGCCCCCCAAAGACCCCCAACATCCCCTAAGAACGCAGGCCCCAAAACGCACCAAGCCCCCGACCCCCAAAACCCGCAGCTGGTCAACGGGCTGGTTGCGTAAGCAACTGACCTCCATCAGGGCCCCAGACAAAGTCGGACTCTTGAGACCATATGGCTCGCCTGCTTTAGTTGGACCCCTCCAAAATGTGCTTCCTGGTCGGTTTCTCGTTACCCTGAAACATGGCTACCCGAACCCCTAGTTGTTTCATCCCGCGTTACGCAGCGAGCCCTGAATTTAAGACACACTTGGGCGTCAACCGCAACCCCCCCTCCCCCCCAAAAAAAAATCCAGGGAAAGAAAAACACGGATCAAAATGGTACTGTCACAAGAACCCACTTCCATCCACCCAACCCAACCCAACCCACTCCCGCAAAAAAAGGGCTACTAGAACCCCAATCCACTTCTGCAAGCGCAGGCCTTTGCGCCGCGGCGGCGGTCCCACAGGCCGCGCCTGCAGTCACCCCAACCCCCAGATGGCCGCTGATATGAGCTACGCTTCTCGAAGACGGCTTCTGAAACACATTGATCTGGTGCGTCCTCCACAAAAACCGGCGTTCCTGCAAAAAACAGTTTGCTTGTTTGTTTACTTGCCGGCAATGGGAGAGCTAATTGAACCAAACGAGTGAAAAGGCAAAAAGGGTTGCTATGGCTACGCAGACCCATGATTGAACATGCCGGTTCGGCTGAGTTGCCGACGTAGTTGAGACCAAAAGCTATCCAGGACCGAAACCTGAAGCACAACTATTTGTCCATGCTTCAACCTCGCACATCAAAATGCCTAACATGCGCCTCTGAACACAGATTGACAATCATTCCTGCAAGGCAAAGCCAAAAACCAGTCAGCATCCGATCCAGGAAATCCATTCCCCTTTTTGTGTTTTTTTGTTGCTGATTTGTTTTCTCTTAGTTGTTGATTGTTTCTTGTTTTTGTTGTTGTTTTTGTGTTTTAGTTGATTGAGCGGCATCTTGTTCCCCTTTTTCGCAGACCTCAGGGACCCCCCCCCGAAGGACCCCCCCGCTGGGGGTCTCTGGCCATCACCGGCCGCCGCGCCCTCGAGATGCGCGCGGCCTCGGGTCGAGTGCCGGTGGATCGGCGATTGGCGCGGCGGGCGATCGAGGTGTCCGGATCGGCGATGGAGCGGAAACCAAAGACTTGCCTCGTCCCAACCGGGTTTCGGGACTTTTGGGCTTTTGGGCTTTTGGGTTTTGGGGTTTGGGGTTTTGGGGTCTTGAAATCAAAGACTCATCAACTAGTCAACTTGGTTCAGAAAATGTTGGGTGTCCTGATCTAAATGGAATCCTCCACTGTTGGGGGGACAACTTTCAAATCATCCACCGGGTTGGTTGATTGGTGAATGTCTCAGGAACGTATTTGCAGCCTTCTTGATGTGACAAGTTTCATGGCGCGTGCCAGGAATGTTGGGTCCCGGGTCCCCCATTTTCAGACACACCCTGAGTCATAATCCAAACCGATCAGTACAAAAATTATGAACCCAAAACTCATGGTAAAGAGTTACCATGGCGGCCGCACCTATTTCTGATTGGGAGTGTCCCTCAACTGCTAAGCTTCACTTACCCCGGGTTTTGATTGTGGCAGACATGCCCTAACTTTCGTCAGGGGGAAAATTGTCGACTTCCACAAACTCACTCACAGGGGGACCAATTACAGCCATTCAGAAACATTCACTACTTAACGACTTGCGGCACATGCCAAGCAACCGGAAGGCAAGGTTCCCCTCAGCGTCGGTGTTTGTTGGCTCAACCAGAAGCGGTACCAACCCTCAATCAACAAAAAACAAAAACAAAAACAAAAAAACAATCATAGAACCACCACGCAAAATTGGCAAAGCAACAACAACGCCACTGACAAAGCTTGTATCAACACAGCCACAAACAAGATCGGAAAAGCCGATTCATATACATACATATATATATATATATACCCTCCCACCAATTAACGTCGAACCTGCCAGGGGGTCCCTTTTCAAGGAGATTGGTCTTCCAGGACCCCCCCTGTCAGGTTCCTCGTCTAAACGCCGCACACTGACGCAGGAGGTGCGCTGAACCATCTCCCGCAGGCCTTCCCAAAGGTGTTCCTGACAAAGTCCCATTCCCTCTCCGTTGATTGAAAGGGAAACTCGCAACCACATCCTCATTGGTAACCCCCAACCCCAAATCTTCCTTCCCAAGGAAAAGATGGGCGATTCAATCACTGGAATCATGGCGCTTCAACCGCCAGTTGCTTCAAGCCGATTTCCCGCCTAAGTAGATCGTAACCATGG